CTTCAAGCACCAGAACTGATGTGCCCACAAGAGGGCACAGTGTCTGGAGACAGCAAACCAACCCTACCACCTATAAGCTGTGTATCCTCAAAGATACTCAATTCTCTCTGAGCCTTGGCTTCAACGTGTAAAACAGGGATGGCAGTTCCTGCCTTACACAGTGACTATGAGAGGGAAACAATGAAGGAGGGAAGAAGAACCTGTGTCTCTCCCAGGGCAACTGGGCTGTTTGGCTGCCCTCCTGGTAGCCCTTCTGAGGGCTGGCCCAGGCATACTCACCCCTCCTCCAGCGTGTCCACCAGGGGCCTCGCCTTGTGCAGGCCCCAGGACAGAGAGAAGTCAGATGCAGAGTCTGCCAGCCACTGCACAGTGTGGGCGGCCTGACCCATGCCATGTAGACAGGCAGTTGTGGGAACCCAGAAGGGAGTGACCACCTCCTCAAAGAAGGGCATACTGAAGCAGGCCTTGGAGGACAAGTAATAACAGTGATAACAGCTAATATTTACTGCGTGCTTCCTGTGTGCCACGTGCTGGCTGAGCACACACATCCCTTCGCTGAATTTCCATAACAGTCCTCTGTGGTAGGAACTGTTGTTATTCCAGTTTTTCAGGAGCATGAAAGTAGCCACCTGAGGTCCCATAGCTGGAAGTTACAGGGCCAGGTCTAAACCCAAGGCTCCAGGCTGGGGAGGGACATGGTCTAAGTCAAGTGGCAGGAAGGTCTCAAAAGGGAGTACCCTGAGAGCACACCCAGGAAGCTGCTTACTGGTCACCCCACTCTGTCTACCTGGTCTACCTGGCATCTAGGGACACCACAAAAGCCACACACAAAAGCACCAAGAGCAGATGCTGAACCAACACATGAGCCTCTCTTCTTGTTGGCGCCTCAAGGCACAAGTCCCCCCGTAACCCCTAGCCCAGGTCAAAGACTCACTGGGGATATAGAGGTCGGGGGCGTTGAGGTCTTGCCGCGGAGGCAAAGGCACATCACGACTGTACTGCACTTCCCAGTTCTGGTGGTGGCAGCAGCAGCCAGGTTAGGAGGAAAAGACAAGAGAGGAAAGAAGGGGGTTGAGATCTGGGGGCCAGACTCTGGGGCAGGATGAGGGAGGCAAGGGGGTCCACCAGCTCACCTGGTAGGCAGCTCACCTGGTGTGTGTAGGGGAAGACCAGTAGCCCTAGCTTCTTGGCCACATAGGCTGTGTCCACAGCGAAAAAATACTTGAGTTTGTTCACAGACACAAAACGGTGCAGCTGGGAGGGGAGAGAGGAGGCTGTGGGCAAGCTGCACCCCAAACCTCGGGGTGCTCCTCTATGTGCTCCTTCCCTGAGGGCTGCTGTGAGGATTAGGTGGGATCCCGTGATGCCCCAGCCCTGGCCAGAAATCCTGCCACCCTTGCCCTGGGGGTGGGCCACACCTCCTTGTGCACCATGTCCTTCCCATGGGATGCGATGGAGCCGCCATAGGCCATAGCCATGTTGGCCATTGGGTCCCCAATCAAGTGGTTGACATTGAAGGCCACGTCGGCTCCTGGGGCTGGGTATCCCCCCGGCTGGCTGGAGTAACCACCGCTTGTGTCATCGAAGAGGGGAGGGGGATCCGGAGCTGCCCGGACCCTGTGCTTGGAGCCTGTGGGTTTGTAGGTACCAGAGTAGGTGACAGGAATACCAAGCATGAGCCCAAACCACTGCCCCTTCCCCAAGCTGGGAAGCCCTGTATGGGTCCTGGGAGCACCAAGCAATCAGTGCGGGAAACTAGCTGGTTGAGGAGTAGCTGACCCAGAAAGAACTTTGATGAGGGATCCTTTTGGAGAGATGCTAAATGTAGGCAAAGAAAGAGCTGAGGCAGCCCCTGGAAGTGGTTGCCCGTCTGAGGGCTCCTGGGGGCCTCCTCAAGGGGACTGATCTCTGAACTGAGCCTTGGAGACAGAGTTTGCTAGGTGAAGACAATTGGCAGGGCATCCCCGCACGAACAAGGGTAGGAAAGGCGACGGCTGGGTACGCGGAGGCTCTGGGCAGTGGTGAGGAACCCTACCAGGGTCATGACAGGGAAAGGAAGTTTGGGAGGCAAACCCCATTCATGCCCGAGTCGGGCACGGGGATCCCAGCAGTGCTGTCACCGCCCGATCTGATCTCAGGTTTGGGCCGAGAGGGCGAAGTCCAGGACGCGTTGCAGAGTCTCAGGGGGCAGGAATCCGAATGACATCCGCCGCCCTGGGCAGCGGTCACGGCCGCCCCTCTCCCTCAGGGTGAGCGGGCCGCGCAGCCGACACTCCTCGGGCCGGTCGGCCCGCGCCCCCGCCCACCCCGCGCCCCACGCACCGTGGGCTCCGTAGCCCGAATGATAAGCCATGGCCCCGACGCTCGCTCTTTCCGAGGGCCCGCTGCGTCGCCTCGTGGTACGAATACTAGTGAGGCAGCTGCTTCGTTTCCTGGGCACCGACCGAGGTTACCGAGCAGCCAGACACGTCCCCGTCCTGTCCGACAACAGCATGTCCGCAGCGTCATCCTCTGCCACCTGCCATTGGCTCCTCGGCGGCGCCGGCTCGCCCATCCCCTCTCCCAATTGGCTACTGGCGTGCCCTCGCCGAAGCGGATTCGGCAGTAACCAACTTCCGGGCGGGGGAATAGGCGGGGCAACTTGAGGCGCTCTAGGATTGGATAGTGTGGTTGTTAGTTCGCGGCGGAGCAGCCAATAGAAGGGTTAAAGTAGGAGGAGGTTGAGAAGTATTTCCGCGCCTGCGCACTGGAGCACTTGACGCTCTCCCTGCCACGACTACAGCGGGAAGAGACCCGGCGGAGGCTGGCGGCGGCTGGAGTCCGGGAATGAAGTTTCGCTCGCGGGACGTACTCCAAGAGGGAGTGGGACGGTGGGGCTATGACCAAGCCCTGTCCCTCGGGGCTCTTTCCCCTCCTTCTCAATGCTAGCTTTCCTTCCCCGTCCTCCATACTTCCCCCAGTACTGGCGCGGAGCCCGGGCAGCCGGGGCGGGGTGCTGGTAGGAGCCCGGGCCGAGCAGTGACTGCGCGGCCCAGCGAGCTCCGGGATGCTGACTCCTCCTCCCGCCTCCCACCACTCCTTTCCAGGCGGGTGCTGTCCGCTGTCTGGTGCTGAAATTCCCTACCGCCACTGCCGCCATCCTGC